ACCACATGTTATCTTTCTACGTTATGTTTCTTATATGTATCATCTTTATGTTAATTCTTTTCCTCATTTCCTGCTTATTCCTACTCTTCAATCTTGAATTCATTCCTGAAAATATAGAAATACAAATATAGCCAATCCTACATCAATATTTTCCTTAAAATTAAGGAATTCAAATTAGAAGCTTTTGGATTATACCAATAAATCAGCAAAATATTATTCTAATTATTTGAAATGGAATAATATTAGGCAATAAAATATGCATATGAATCTTATAAAAAAAAAACGTAAATGATGCCCTTTACTTCCGTTCTTATATACCTCTAGAATTCCATGATTTCAACAAATTTTCTACATTCACTTTTTCCGATTGTTTTTCTTTGCAGACTGCTTGCGGATTTTACTGTATTTTCTTGCTAGACTTGAAACTGGTAAGTCAAGCTGTGATTTTCATGGTGGTGGTAATCAAAACCCCTCTCTATTGATCTAGTATTATTCGATATTCAAAATTTGAAATGCTCTAGAAACAAGTTCTTTGTCGATTCTCTCACTTCATCTTATCTTTAATGCTTTGCTCTCACATCTTTAATGCTTTGTTATCAACAACAGAGTAAGTTAATTACATACATATAAAAGGACTAACACACCAATCTATCCATCTAATGTTGCACCGATCTCTCCTATGTTTAATCCATGTAAAAACAGTAGATTTCACCGAATTTGCTAGTTTAGGTGGCGATGTCCTTAATTTTTTAAAGATCCAATCGCACCTAGCTTTCCAAATACTCCATGTAGTCCCATAACATATGCTAGTTAGGGTTTTTCTTTTTCTTTAAGCATGTCCCCCATTATGCTACAAATTTCACCATTTCCTCAGCATACTCAAATTAGAGATAAGAAATGTTGCACCAATGGAATACCCATTCTCATACCTTTGATGCCATTGGGCATCAAAATAACACATGGGTTGTATCCTCCTCCTCCATCTCACACTAGGGACATAAGACGGATGTGATCTGGACTCCCCATCTAGTTAACGCACGTGCTGTTGGGATTCGATCGAGCTTTGCCCTCCATATGAAGCAGTTGACCTTCAACGGGACTTCATGAATCCACTTTATTGATACTTCCCCTGGCATCATGTTTCTCTAGTCAATTTGTGTTCTAAGAGTGTTTATATGGAATATTCCATCACTCAACAGATTACATACCCATCTATCACTTTGTGCCACTGTTTGAAACGTACTGACCCCGTTAGTGAGCATCTGAATTTCACGAAAATGTGTTGTGGTTGTTGGTGTGGAATATTCCATCACTCAACAGATTACACACCCATCTATCACTTTGTGCCACTGTTTGAAATGTACTGACCCCGTTAGTGAGCATCTGAATCTCACGAAATGTGTTGTGGTTGTTGGTGTTTCTTTCCAATTCCAGTTACATCGCTCGTCCTGTAACCGATCACTAACCTTACAATGTTTGTGTCATTCCAGTTTGTACATCTCAAGGAAGGATGCCTTTAGTATATTGTCTCTGATCCACCTGTCAAGCCAAAACATAGTATCATCACCGGACCCATTCTTCTTCGATATTACGTCATTCAAATCAATTCTAATTTTTTCTAATTCTCCTTTTACTCCAGCGATATTGCTCCATACACCAAATAGGGTTTTTTGGAAATATGGTCTGCTGGTTTATTGTATAGATTGTGTATTCCTTTTATGACCTTACTCCACAGGCTCGAGCTATCCATCTTCAATCTCCATAAGCCTTTCACAATTAGTGATAAGTTGAGCACCTTCAATGATCCCAAACCAAGGTTATCCGCTTCTCTAGGTGCTATCACCTTTTCCCACGATACCCAAAATATTTTTTTTATATCGTTCGAACCGCCCGATAAGAATCTCCTTCTTATTCTTTCTAGCTTCTTGATAACACCTGCGGGAGCAACAAACAATGAAAAGTAAAAAGTTGGAAGGCTGCCAAGGACAACCTTTTCCAGCATTAATCTTCCTCTAAGAGAAAGAGTCTTCGACTTCCATACGCTCAACCTTGTTTGGAACTTTTCGAAAACAGGAGTCTAGTGGAATTTTAACTCCATATTTTCCCCTACTGGGACACCAAGATAGGAAAAAGGTAGTCAGTAAGGTTCACATCCAAGTGGCTCTGCCATAGATTCTACTTCATAATGTTCTACACCGATTCCAAATACTCTTGCCTTTTTAAAATTCACTTTTAGACCTGATGCTACATGAAAACACCGAAGTATTCTTGCTAGATTTTTTATGTTTTCATCACTCCATTGCCCCATAAAGAGTGCATCATCTGCATAAAACAGATGAGAGACATACGAGTCAATGTTCGGGAATTTTTTCCTTTAAAAATTCCTTTGTCACAAGCTTCCTTCATTGCAATGTTCAGCCCTTCCATCGCAATTATGAAAAAGAATTGAGACAATGGATTACCTTGTCTTATTACCCGCCGCATTTCAAACTCACCTGTTAGGGATCCATTCACAATGACTGATAATGTCGATGATCTTCAGCAGTTTTTATCCATCCCCTCCATCGTTCCCCAAAGCCCAATTACATTTGTATATGATCCAGGTACTCCCAGTTCACTATGCTGAAGGCTTTGTTGAAGTCTACTTTAAAGAGTAGCATCTTGTCTTTTGTCTTCTTGACCCAAAAGAACATTTCATTGATTATTAAAGGCTCATCCAAGATATTTCTTCCCTCACTGAAGGCTGATTGAACTTCACGTATGCATGGCCCAATAACCCTTTTTAATCTGATGGATAGCACCTTTGCAGATATCTTGTACATACAACCAATAAGGCTTATTGGTCGGTAGTCACTAATGGTAAGCAGATCTTTTATCTTAGGGATGAGAGTGATAAAGGATGCATTACATCCTCTACCGATGTTCCCAGAGCTTTCAAAATGTTTTACAACATTCATAATATCAGTTTTTATGATATCCCAATATCGTTTAAGGAATTTGAATGAGAAGCCATCGGAACCTGGACTCTTTTCATTCCCACGGGACCAAATAGTGCTTTTGGCCTATTCAATTATGAGCGGGGCTTCAAGACTTTCATTTCTTGCAGTATCAAGGGATGAGAAGTTCGTGCTGGAGAATTTTGGTGTAGAAGGCCACTTTTCTTGGAATTTCTTCCGATGGAAGTTGAGGATCTCGTCTTTTATGGGTTTTGGTTCTGTGATCCAATTGTTATCTATTAATAGTCCCGAAATCTTATTCTTTCTTCCTGTATTATTGAAAATCCATGAAAGAACGATGAGTTCTCATCTCCATCAATCAGCCATTTGATCTTTTCCCGTTGTTGATATCTAAAGTTGCAGACTTCTCCATTTTTGCTATCTATTAGAAACCTGTCCTCCATTCACGTATCTCTTTTTCAGTGAGTATACGCTCCTCTGCTAGTAAATCAATCTCCTAAACTCTCCTTTTAATTTCTTGCAACTCCTTCACCTCCTTAGGGTACTCGGTAGCATGTCATTTCTTTATTTCATTCTTCAAAAAATTTAGCTCCGCCTTTACAAACATGTCTGGTGTTCCAAATCCTCTAAACTCATCCCATGCCTTTTTAATAATGTTATCGAATCCTTCTCGACCGAGCCAAGAGCTAAATAACCTGAACAGGGGTTTCCTAAAGTCTGGGAGAGTTGTTTGGAGAATTATCGGGCAATAATCCGACAATTCTCTTGGGAGCGCAGTGGCAAAAGTAGAGGGGAATAGATTGATGAAGTTATTACATACTAGAAATCAACGAGTTTGCTAAGCTTCATGTGAGATTGAAAAAGGAGAGTGAACCTGTTCCCACCCATTCTAATATCATGTAGGCCTGCTTTAGCAATAAATCGGTTGAAATGGAAAGCATAGGAGGGGCATAATTGGGAATTGTATCGCTCCTCACGTCTTTTTATTGTATTGAAATCCCCAAAAATATATCCAGGTACCTGTTTTGGTTGTTTTAACTTGCAGCAATTTCTCCCATATTCGTTTTTTTATGTCAAGTCATGAGGACCATACACATTCGCAATTATTGTGTCACCTGGTATTCCCCTCCCAATTCCCAATTATGATAAGGAAATGTCTTGACTTGATGGTATTGTTCACATTGTAAACATTTGCATCCCACATACTTAGTAGTCCACCAGATCTTCATGAGGCTTGTGTTGCAGAGAATCCAAATTCATCAGAGCCCCAGCATCCTTGTACATTTATTGCCTCAATATTCACAAATTGTGTTTCTTGTATTCCTAAGAAAGACGACATGTTATGTACTTTGATCCATTTTACCCAATTTACCTTGTGGGTTTCGCTGATTCCCCTCACATTTAGGCTGAGGCAATTTATTGGGGTGAGGCATTCTCTCCTTCCTCTCCCATAACATTGCAGAGGATAAGGTTGTTGGACCCTATGTCGAACCCCAACTCCCTTCCAAGTGTAGCTATTTTTTCCATTTAAGATATTCGGGGTCTTTCTAAATTTTCTTCCATGTTTTCATTTTGGTGTGGGGGAGGGGTATTGAGGTAGATTTCAACATCTTGGTTTGGTACCGGTGGGGATTCTGGTATCGGTACAGTCTATGGCAGAGGGTCAGGATCGGACTTTGTTAGATTCGCCATGGGGGGAATAATGAGTGTGTTGTATCCATTGTCCAATGTCATAACTCTTCTTCATTTTCCGTTGGATCCACCGGCTCTAAATGTTAAGACTACTTTATTTATTTTTAATAGAGATGGGAAGGGCCCAAATGTTCATTGTTACCGTTTGGCAATAATTGTCCATTTCTTTGAGGAGTCGGTTCAGATGCCACCTTTGATGTTCCCAACATTTCTGTTTGTTCCCCATGTGGCTATTCGTCTACCATCATCGTCTCTCCCTGCTCATCCGCCGGAACCCTATTTTCCTCCGACGAGTTTTGCAATTCTAACAAAATCTCTCCTTTTTCCCTTTCATTTTCTCCCATTACCCTCTCACTGTATTCTCCTGTCTAATCTTTTCTTTTTTGTGAATGGGAACAAACCTTCATCAAATTCAATTATCCCCAGCCTATACTCCTTCCCTTTGAATGTAGAAGTAACCTCGTCGTATATACGTATCTTGTTTTTTGTAAGTATACCTATCTTTACATGTGATAGGTCTACTCTATGTGGGATGTCTTTGAAGGGGGCAATGGTTTTCCCATAAACACTCGTGATTGTCTTGAAATTACGTTGTCCCCAAAGATGTAATGGAAGTCCCATAATTCTGATCCATGCTACTCGTTCTGCATGTGTCTCTGTCTTGTCGCCCCATCTTAACCATTTCAGATGTTGCTTCCACCTGCATTCGTTTTCCATGAACTCCTTTGCGGCTACAGAATAATCAAATAATATTAGGACCCTCAATCCTCCAATGTATTTTATCTCCATACTAGACTCGCCTTTTGGCCTTAGCAGTTTAGGGAGGTTCTCTAAATGGTCTAGCGACATTGCTTCACCAACTATTATTGTCTTCCTCAACCAATTGAGGGTGTCCAGTTTACGATGTAGATTTAAGGGTCTCGTAGTTTTTGGACTAGGAATGTGGGGATTTGTTGTATGAGTCGGCCTCATCATATCGGCGTAAGTTCTATGGTCTCTGAAACTTGTTCTTCTCTCCTTTCCTTGTTCTTTGGTTGCTCTGGTTTGTTCTTCCATCACTCCTGTGACATCCCCATTTTCACGGCCAAAAAAGACCGATTTTGTTTATGCTTTATAAAAATCAGAGTTCTTCTTTTAATAAAAATGTTGGGGAATTTGTTCCCAAAAAACATGATAAATACGTTATTAAAACATTTTCGAAGAAACGTATTTTATTCATTTCAAAACGTTTGGGATGTCATCGTTAATACAGAAACACAAGCATAAACAGAACTTACATTTATTTACACTAGTGATCTACATCTCTTTAAATCTCTCAGTGTAATGTGACTTCATATCAACACCTGTGATATAAATAAACTGAGTGTGTCAGGTTGGGAAACCTGGTGAGTACATAGGGTTTTCAACCCACAATTATATAATTATTATGTTTAAACAATCAAACAATCAACCCAATTACCCATCCCCATTATCTTCTTTACTCTTAAGGATCTACCCTAAGAATCAGCTATTCCTCTTTCATTCATTCCTAAGGATTATCCTAAGGAATCGACAAGAAATCCATCGTTGCCACGGTTTACACAATGGGCACTAAGTCTGCATAGTCGCCAGGGTTTAGGCATCAAGTCGGCATGATCACCAAGGTTTAGGCACCAAGTCTTCATGGTCACCAAGGTTTAGGTACCAAATCTGCATGGTCACCAAGGTTTAGAGTACACCAAGTGAACACGTCGTTCACAACACCTACAGGTTGCGAGCCTGCTAGTGTTCCACTGGACTGTCTAGAATAGTCTGTGGTTGTCATCCATACTCTGCTGAATGACGGGGCCATCATTTGGGAAAAAGGCTTCTCACATCGTCCACCTCTCACCCTAACCTCGTGGTCTATAACACCTCTCAACTCATCATTCAACTCATATTCCATCTATTATATCTACCCATGTTTACCCCAACATTATCGTAGATATAAAATACATATACATTTTAAATCATTGAAAACATGTATAACATTGTTCATCTAGCATAGATAGCAAGTATTCAGATAATACGCACACATAGCACGTAATTTATATAAAATACTTCATATCTATGTGTAAGATGAAAGTAACTATGCACTCACTTGAAAGGTGGTGACTCAGCACTTGGACAACACTTCGATACTCTCAAAATGATTTTCCTTCGATAGAACCTAGTATCGATACCACTAGGGTTTAGTTTAACGATAACCGCGACAAATTAATTGTCTAACTATTATTATTATTATATAAGCATTAATAACACTCAATATAACTCATAATAATAGCCCAAATAATTATTTTAAGGACCTAATCACATTCCTATAATAATTTGAAAGCTATATTAAAAATTGCGTAAGCGTAGCACACTTACAGCAAAATTTATCGAAAATCGGAACTTAATTGGAGCAGCGTTTCGAAACCGAAAGACATTTTTTCTCGGGACTCCGGGAGCCTCGAGGCTTCCCTCGGGAGCTAAGGGGTTTAACTAGGGCTTAGGGGTCGTTTGGGGAGCTAGAGAGAGAAAGAAATTAGAGAGAGAAGTGATTTTTGGTGTGAAAATGGAGGCAGCCTCGGCCTCCTTTTATAGCCGCGAGGCCTCGGATTACGTTGGGCGTAATCCTTGGCTACGCTGAGCGTAAGGCTCGGATATGGTTGCCACCCGGATCCAACTGTCTCGCACTCGTCGGAAGGATAAGGCCAAAGGTACGCGGGGCGTACCGGACCTCGTACGCGGGGCGTAATACGAAGGGAGGCATGTCCGAATCCGAAGCATCCTTTGATCAGTGATGGACGGCCCACAACGCGCCACGTCATCAACTTCGCAATCAGCTTCGCAAATTCAAGTTACAACTTCAAAAATTCGTAACTTTCGCGTACGACCTTCGTTTTCGACGTTCTTTATATCCACGCAAAGGTGGGAACGTACTCTACAACTTTCGTTTAGACTCCATCAGCTAACTTTGATATATTTTAAATTTTATATTATTAACAGACCGGGACAGGATTGGTCCGTTAAATTCTCATAACTTCTTCATCCGATGTCCGTTTTCGCCCATCTTTTTCTCGTTAAGCTACTCTTCTGGAGATCTTAGATTCTCGTTTAGGTCATGTCGGCTAAAAACTGCTCGATCTAACATTTGAATTTCGGGTTGTACACTGCTAATCCGAAACTTCGAAAAATCAAAACTTCTTCATACGAAGTCAGATTTGGGCGTTCTTTTTATCGATGTTCTTAGTTTAACACATTCTACGAATTTTGTTTAGATCGTTAAGGCTAAATCTCGCTCTATCGTAAATTCACTATTTACGTTTCCCGGTATCATGTCGGTTCCGTCGCGAAACTTTAACGGGTCATAACTTCTTCGTTATAACTCGGATTTCGGCGTTCTTTATATGTACGGAAACCTTGTAACATATTCTACAACTTGGTTAAGATTATTTATTCTAAATAAACTTTTGTCGAAAAGTCATTTTCGACACTTATTGTCTTAAAATTGACTAGCCCAGATCTACGGGCGTTACAATTCCCCCTCTACTACCTTTATAAGCTTGAAACATGGGTGGTTCTTTCCTCTCATGTAAGTATATGTTAACTGGAAGGGTCTTCCCTCTAATCTTCGTGCCATCCAGTTTCCTTTCGAGTTCCTTAGCATTACTGATCCCCCTGAATCGTATGAAGGCATAATATTTTCTGTTCTTACCCATGTTCTGCCCCATGTACACATCTTAGAGTTAAATGTTTCTCGAAAGTTTTCTGGACTTCTCCTTTCGTTGCTTCCTTTGGAAATTTTGTTACAAAGAATGTGGTCGTTTCCTCCACTTTCCTGCTGTAGTTTGTCATCCTTTTTTTCCGACGAACTTCCATCCAAGCTCCCACCATAGTTGTGTTCCTGTGTTTTTTTTCTTTAGATGATCTTATCACAAACCACATGGAAAAACTTTTTTCCTTAAATGATCATAAAGTGACATTACATTTATTTGGAATTTCGAAAAATATATTCTTATTTTATGTTTACGGGGCCATATATATGTATGGTAGATTGCGAGCATTATTTTGATGTTATTTTTTATATTTGTTTCTTTGATAGTATTGGTATGTATATCTTTGCTTTATGTGTGTAAACTCATTTATAATAGAGAAAAGGAAGTAAAATAGGAATATAGTGTAAAATTTTAATTATGTATGCATGTAGACTAATTAAAATTAGAATGTCGTTCACTTTGGTGTTGATTTTGACAATTACTTAAGTTCATTAACTAGCCCAAAATTGGTTTGTCCTAACTCATTAGAGTGTATAACAATAATTTGTAACCTACCAGAAATTTTTTCTTTTATGTTACAACTTGGTTGAGCTAATTTTATTGTAATTAGCTAAGGGCATCCACAATGAACTCCATAAAGCCTAATGGATTGTTATGTCATCTTTCTACAATCCATACAATTCTGTTATTTCTTTTCCCTATAATACATTGAACTCTACAAAATTTTATAGAATGTTACAAAATGTAATGTATAGTAAACATTTAAGAATAAAAAACATTTTTCCCATTGAAGAGTTCAATGGCTATTGAACTTTAAATTCATTGAAGGTTAAGGTGACATCTCACAATTGTGGAATTTCATCAATTGAATGATACATAGACTTGTCACCTCATTTAACTCTCTCATTAAACTCATCATTGTAGATGCTCTAAGCTCTCAATTGATTCTTCAAACTGTGGTATTTTTATTTTCCAGTGTAAAAACCATTTATAATTTTGTTTTGCACACATTATTATTTTAGTTTGTCTTTTTTTGGAGCCACTAGCCCGCTCTCCATGTTCACCAGGTAGAAGGAAGAATAAAACATGTGAGAAGAGAATGAGCAAGATGCTAATGGCTAAGTCCATGTCGAAGCTTTTAATTGTTTTTGTTTACAATCAATTATTTTCGATTTTTGATTTTTGAATATTGTCTTTTTGAAGTTATAACCTATATGTTTCGACGTATTATTAGTTTTTGTTATATAAAACATCATTTTATTTAGGTAAAACAGATCATAGTTAAACGTTAACTATTATAGCATTTTCCTTTATGCAAATTCAACAACCAAATCAATATAATCCAAGCATTCACAGTTTTTAATTATTTTTGGTTTGATTTACAAGGGTACTGAATGTAGTTAAGTAATATTTTTTGAGAGAACAATTATCATATATTTACATGTCTATTTGTATGGTGATTGATATAAGTACATTGTTCTTATTATTTGTCATATCATTACATTGTTCTTATTATTTGTCATGTTCATTTTTCTATCAAATTAATTGAATAATTGATATTTTTTTTGTTAAATGCTCCAAAAACAATTTTTTAGTAGATAATAATGAACATATTGAACTATATGTGTTTTTTATTATATAGATGTCTTTTATGTTAATTTCATTGTATTCCAACTTGTGTCATTACTCCATTTGTGACATTATTCAACAATGAACATGTATTGGAATAAAAGTTTATGTAATATTCATTAATGAATTTAGTATCCGAATAAAAGTTTGTTAAATTGCATTAGAATAAAAAATTTTCATTATTCAATAACGAATTTGTATCATTATTCAACAATGAACCTGTATTAGAATATTAGTTCATAAAATATTCATTAATGAATTTAGTATTCGAATAAAAGTTGCTTAAATTGCATTGGAATAAAAGTTTGTCATTATTCAATAACGAATCTGCACTCAAATAAAAGTTCATGTCTTTAATGGTTTATAATGTTGTTCTATTATGAATGTCTAAATACAAATTAGTGTTTATGTTATTTTGTTTTAAATTTGCACATGCATTATAGTATTTTGTTGTTATTCCGTTATGAATATGAATTTTTGCATACACCTTATTGTTTATGGTGTTCTGTATTGCCAGGTTAAAAGAACTCAAAGAACGAAAATAATCAAGGCTGAAAAATAAACATAATCAAGACCAAAAGCATAAGTATATTAGTAGATTACATAGAACTTATGTCATTATTTTCATCCTGAATTGTATGTATAGAT